AAAAAAAAAAAAAAACTGCATAAGAATGATCAGAGGAACACTATATTTACAAGAGCATGGTAACAAAAACAGCCTAAATATCCATCAATAGAATGGAAAAAAAGTACATTCCAAAAGTGGACTACCATAGGAATGAGAATGAACAAACTACACACAACATGGATAAAGCTCAGAAGTTATTTTGAACTATGCTAAATGAAAGAAGTCCAACACAAAGCATTACGAACTATATGATTCTACTGCATGAGATTCTAGAAAAGCCAAAAAAGTGTAGTGAAAGAGAGCAAATTAGTTGCCTGGGATCAGGGGAAGGGCTCAACTGCAAAAGGGCATAAGGAAACTTTTCGAGGTAACAGAATGGTTCTAGACTTTGATGGTGATTATATAATAGTATACAACTGAAACCATACATGTAAACTTTATCAGTTTTACTATATGTAAATATACCTCAAATTTTTTTTTTTAGACAGAGCCTCAAGCTGTCCCCCTGGGTAGAGTGCCGTAGCATCACAGTTCACAGCAACCTCCAACTCCTGGGCTCAAGTGAGTCTCCTGCCTCAGCTTCCCAAGTAGCTGGGACCACAGGCACCCCCACACTGCCAACATAGTTTTTCCATTTTTTTAAAGTAGAGATGGGGTCTTTCTTTGCACCCGCCACCTTAGGTGTATGTGGCTGGCGCCTTAGCCACTTGAGCCACAGGCGCCAAGCCAATATATCTCAAAAAAAAATTTTTTTTTTTTGAGACAGAGCCTCAAGCTGTCCCCTTGGGTAGAGTGTTGTGGCATCACAGCTCACAGCAACTTCCAACTCCTGGGCTCAAGAGAGTCTCCTGCCTCAGCCTCCCAAGTAGCTGGGACCACAGGCGCCCACTACAACGCCCAGCTATTTTTTGGTTGCAGCCATCATTGTTGTTTGACGGGCCCAGGCTGGATTCGAACCCGCCACCTTAGGTGTATGTGGCTGGCGCCTTAGCCACTTGAGCCACAGGCGCCAAGCCGGATATACCTCAAATTTTAAGAAAAAAAGGTAAATGATGCTGGGCAAGGTGGCTAATGCCTATAATTCTAGCACTCTGGGAGGCTGAGGTAGGTGGATTGCTTGAGCTCATAAGTTCGAGACTAGCCTGAGCTGAAGTAAGACCCTGTCTCCACTAAAAATAGAAGAAACTGAGGCAAGAGGATCGCTTGAGCCTTGTTTGGAGGTTGCTGTATGACGCTATAGCACTCTACCTAGGGTGACATATAATGAGACTCTGTCTGAAAAAATAATAATAATAAATAAAAAATAAAAATTATAAGGTGAAGTGCAGTGGCTCATGCCTACAATCCCAGCAATCTGGAAGGCCGAGGTAGGTGCATCACTTGAGCTCAGGAGTTCAAGACCAGCCTGAGAAAAAGTGAGACCCTGTCTCTACTAAAAATAGAAACACTAGCCAGGTGTTGAGGCAGGTGCCTGTAGTCCCAGCTACTTGGGAGGCTGAGGCAAGAAGATACTTGAGCCCAAGAGTTTGAGATTGCTGTGAGCTATGACCCCATAGCACTCCAGCCTGGTGGGGGACGGGGCAGAGCAAGACTCTGTCTCAAACAAACAAAAAACACCCAACTCTGTTGACCCCTGCCTAACTACTCCCTCTCCAAGGCTTTCCACTGCCCTCAGGTAACAGTTCAACCACCTTCCAGGGAAAGGCCTGTACGACCTCTCTCCAGATGGGTCTCTTCATCCCTCTTGCCCTTTCAGTCCCAAGCCTCCGAGCTCTTGGAAAGTCTCTTACAAGCCATGGAATAATCCCGTCATAGACTAATAACTACAGATTAATATAGAATCATCACAATACTTCACCCACTACTTTCAGAAAATAACATGTGTATGGCACTTAACACAAAAGTCCCCATGCAATGCACTGATACTATTCTTATTTTCGAAATGAGAAAACTGACATTAAGTATCTTGGACAAAGTCACCAGGCTGGCAGGTGGCACTGCCACTGTCAGCCTGGTCCCGATTTCAAGATTTCAAGACAGCCCCTCTCTGACACTGCCTTGGAAGCTGAAACAACCATAAAAGAACTCCTTAATCAGAGTTTTTTGTTTTGTTTTTTTTTGAGACAGAGTCAAGCTGTCACCCCGGGTCTCGAGTATCCTGGCATCTACTACAGGCGCCCACCACAACCCCCGGCTATATATATATATATATTGTTGTTGTTGTTGTTGTTGTTGTTGCAGTTGTTGTTTAGCTGGCCGGTGCCAGGTTAGAACCCGCCAGCCTGGGTGTATGAGGCCGGCGCCCTATCCACTGCACTACGGGCGCCGCCCAGAGGCTATTTTTAAAATTTATTTTTGAGACAAAATCTCATTTTGTGGCCCTGGGTAGATGCCGTAGCGTCACAGCTCACAGCAACCTCCAACTCCTGGGCTCCAGCGATTCTCTTGCCTCCGCCTCCTGAGTAGCTGGGACTCCAGCTGTCCGCCACGACGCGCGGCTATTCCGGCTATTTTGTTGTGTTGTAGTTGTCACTGTTGTTTAGCCGGCCCGGGCCAGGTTCCAACCCGCCAGCCCTGGGTATGGGAGGTAACCAGGCATCTTCCCAATACCTGTAAAATGTTAGCCCCGAAGTCCAGACACGAAGAAAAGCCACGAGAAATAAACTTTGCGGCTTTGTTCAGACAGAAGAAGCCACCACCACAAAGACTGAGCCCCAGCCCTCGGCCACGCGGCGTCCCGGCAGCGGCAGCGAGCCCGGCCCGAGACCCCCGGCCGCCGCCCACCTGCGCCGGGCCCACGCCGGCCACCGAAAGAGGCATCAGGCCTCGCCTCCGCCCGCCTGGCCCGCGCCCGGCTCGCCGCTACCAGCCGGCCTAACTGGGCGCGGGCTGCTGTGTCACCCTATCCCCGGGCCGAGGGGCCAGCTCGGACCCCGCACCGGCCTCGCACTCGGGACGGTCGTCGTCCTCTCTCACGTCCCCTTGACTTCCCCACAACCTGCACCTTCTCCTCATGGCGGACGTCCAAGCAACCGGGCGTCGAGACCCGACCTACTCCACACAGCCAAATGCAACAACCACCGCAAACGCTGACTGCCACCCTTCTACAGCCGCTCCGCGAGCCGTTGGACCGGACAGAATTTCAAACCCAGCCACGGAACAAAGCAGGCTCACGATTGGTTTCGTGACCCGTTACTCCTCGCGAAGCCCCGCCCTCTACCCGCCCCTCCGGCAGCAAGTGGAGAGTGCGCAGTCGCGTCCGGATGGCAGGGGGAGGGGCTGCTGCCGCCGTTTGCGTGTTCCCTGCTGGGCCCTCCCAGCGCGATTGCTGCGGGAGGGAACACCCTTCCCCAGCCGGCGCGTCACCGAAGCCGTCTCCGCCTAGAGCAGTTTGTATTTCAAGTGCGCGCAGCTGCCCGGAGGCCGCTGGGACCCGAGTTCGGACCACTAGCGACCGGAGCGGGAGCTGCCCTGGGGCTGGGATCGGGGTCAGCAGGACAGTCCAGCGCCCCGACCCTCGTCCTTCCAGGAGGCGAACCTCTGGACTGAGCTGTGGTGGGAGCCGCCCCCAAACCGGAAACCTGGCGCTTAAGAAGGGAGGGTTCCCTGAGCCGGTTCCACACAAGCCATCCCACTCGACCCCGCGAAATCCAGTTAGGTGCGCGTTGGCACCATTGCAGGGAGCAAGTTGACGGGACTGACGGATAGGTGGAGATCGCCCGGGCGAGGTTGCCTTTCAAAGGACGCGAGTTTATAAATCATGAAAACGGAGGCTGAAGCGGGAGGCCCTGGATACTTTATCTCTCCCTTTTCTAAAGGAACAGAGAACGTTACATTGCTAAGTGCTTTGCACACCACTTATCACGTCTTCTCCAGTGATTCGTGGTTGCATGATGGATCCATGGTGCCACGGATAATTAGAACATCACTTTTTTTTTCTTGAGACAAGGTCTCCCTCTGTTGCCCAGGCCGGAGTGCAGAGGATGGTCACTGGTCACTGCAGCCTCTAGCTCCTAGGCTCCAAAGATCCTTCTCCGTAGTTCTTCTGAGTATTGAGATCTCAGGCATGAGCCACCTGCCTGGCCTAGATAGTAACTTTTATGGTAATGCTGGGCTGAATACGGGAATCTTTGAAATCTTGCATTATTTTCGTACAGTTGATTCCTGGAAGTGTAATTATTGAATGCTTCCATTAATTTGCTCTCTCCACCAAGCTTCTCTAGAAGAGTAACCTTCTCTTGTTACCCTCAGCAGTGCTACTGGACTTTTAAACTTCTTTGCTTATTTAATAGGCAAAAATTACATTTCATTGTTTGGCACTTGACAATAACTAAAATCACACACTTTACATGTGTTTATTGGCCAACTGTAACTTCTGTGAACTCTTGTTTTTTGTCTAAAGGCCGCTTGTGTGTTTCGCCTTGAGAACCATGTTTTTTGGCTTGGCACCTGTGGCTCAAGTGGCTAAGGCGCCAGCTACATACACCTAAGGTGGGGGGTTAGAATCCAGCCCGGCCGCCAAAACAACAATGAC